AGAGTAGCTGTGCAGTTTGGCGAAAAGGAAGGCACCAATTCTGATTGAGTTCAAAGCATTCTACGCTCAAAGCCCCAAGCCTGAACTCTTAAACCCGAAGCCCCAAGCCCTAGTCCCCTAATCCCCAAGCCTGAATTCAAGCTTTCTGACTTCCTGGCGAGGCCCTCCATGGCTAGCAAAGGAGGTCAGCTCCGAGGCGCTCCGTTTCAACTCAGAGTAAAAGAAGCTCTAATTCAACATTTTGCGCTTGGGGTGTATGGATCTGGAGTTGAAGGTTTGAGGTTCAGTCACCTCGGGCATTTGGGGCTTGAGGTGCTTTAGGTTTCAGGATGCGCGTTCAGGCCGTTCGTCTGGTATATAGTATCTAATAGTATATTAGAAAGTAGATTATACAGTAAACCATGTAGTATCTTATATAGTAGACTATGAAGTAAACCCTAAACCCTAAACATTCATGTAGTGTCTGCCCTTATTTGGGTAGGCGCGCTTTGGAGAAAGGGGCGTCATTGCACTTAAAACAAACACAGTGACTGTTCCGAAGGTCTGAGCCTTGGGGGCGTCTTAAACCGTCGCAGCTGCCGCCTTGAAGCCTTGAGTGAACCCCGGAGGGATGGAAGCAAAGGGACCCCGGATGTAGAGATAAGATACTTTATAAGATACTATGATACTTTATTTTATAAGATATTATAAGTAAAGATAAGATACTTTATAAGATACTATAGATTAAGTATACTGTATAATACACAGTATAGTATTCTCTACAAGATACTATATAAGGTACTATAGAAGATACTGTATTATAGACTTTGTATCATACTACATTACGTGCTATGCAAGGTGCTCGAGTTCGCTACGGCTTCTTGTGCCACCTCCGGCGCCAGCGCCTGGCTCCTCGGACGAGCTTATAAGTCTTATAGGGTTCAGGATTCTGAGCAAGGTATGGAACCCAGAGACTCCAATATTCCTTAATTAAGGAATATTCCCTAAATTTTAGCAGGATCCTTAATATGATTTAAGGTATATTCCTGAATTAAAGGATATTGGAGTCTCTAGGAAGTGCAGTCATGAAAGCCGAACCTCCGAGTGCTCAGACCTCCATGCGATTGCACAAGTCCTGATGCAAACACCGGGTATTTGGTCTTTTATTCACTCCCTGAAGTGTTCGAATCTTGACACCGAAATAAAGCCTCCTACAGCTCTTCGTTCTGATCCGAATGCAATCCCCCGGAGCAGCCGGAACATAACAACACTTAAGAATATTGTTCCCCATGCAGCCGTCATTTACACCGAACACCTTGTTCAAACTATTAAGGGCATGATACTATGGTTACGACCTCTGTAGAACCCTTATAGATTATAGCTTCCCTGTCATGGGCCCTTATAGCAACTTGTCTGAGATTTCCCCAACACCGAAGGTGCCGACGAGGCTCCGGGCGCTCTCGGCACGCCGCTGCCGCCCCGCGAGCTGCGCAAAAGGAGCCGGCTGGAGAAGGGTTGAAGAGCTCGGAGGAATAAATGAAAACGGGGGCCCTCGGGCCTCTAAGGGCGATAAGGGTTCCCTAGTTTTCCATAATGGTTTTGTTGAGCTTATATAGTATACAAGCCGCAATCTTTGGTAATAAGAACTTCTCCTTGCAGTCTCTCTATAGTCCCAAAATTATAGTGTAATCCAGCAAAAACACTATAGTCATGCTGTAATCCGACCCAAAAATCTATTCTTAAGGCTACTGTATATCATAGCCTACAGGGGTGCAGTATCCTACCTTCTTTCAATGCCCCGTAGAATCAGAGTGCAGTTCATGTTCAAACGCGCTTCCCTTTCCTCCTACCTCGAGGCTTCAACCTTTAACCCGAAGTCTCTTAGACCGCCCCTAAGCATAAAACCCAAACTCTAATCCCAGAAATCGGGAAGAGGGCTCCTGAACCCTAAACCCCTAAACCCTAAACCCCTAAACCCTAAACCCTAAACCCCTAAACCCTAAACCCCTAAACCCTAAACCCCGCCAAAGACCGTACACCGGAGGAGACTCCAATTCGTGTCATAACCCAGGGACCCCTGGTATAGTTTCTACAGATCTCATGGTCTTGTCTAGAACCTTAGATGTAGCATACTATGGTATGTTATATGGTCTGTTATAGTGTGTTATGGCATGCATTAGCATACTTGAGTTTTTTGTAGTATGCTGTAGTATATTTCGTTTTTTTGTAGGCCGGTTAACAAGGCCGTTGTTGTGGCCATTGGCGCATTGGGTGTGTCTTCGGCGGTGTGTCTTCCGCGACACGACCAAAAATGACTCGCGTTTCGGGCTCGTATACCATTTTTGTTAATGTTCAGCCCAACAACCCTAAACTCTAAACCACGCATCCCCTCATCAATGTATCCTGCCGACTTCTGCACCTATGCCCTTGAATTGAAAACGGAGTCTCAGCCCATTCAGCGAAGCTCTAAGCCCTCATTGGATCCCAAGCCCTCATACCCAAACTGGCTTCCGATTGTCACCCTCTCAGCGTACTGCAGGGCCATGCACCTAAGCCTCAAGCCATTGCACCACCTCGCCCTGAAGTCGAAGCTTCTCCTTTCAACGGAAATCCCAAGCCTTGAAAAATTGCCGCCTGAAGCTCAGCGTGCCCGAAACCCCAATCCCTGAAACCCCGAGCCGTCAACCCTAAACCCTCCACAATTTAGCAGAATATATAATGTGACATATCATACCCCGGACCTTGAAGCTCGCAGCCTTCAAACCCAAAGTACCCTTATAGTACCCTTCTGAGACAACTCCTAAGCCCATCGTCGAGCATAAATTGCACCCCTGGCCTTCAACTCTTCCGAACCTTAACTGGGCCCTTGTTGGATACCATTTTACATTTTTGTTATCATTAAACCCAGTAAGGATTAAACATGATCATTTTAAATATAGCCCCAACAGAGAACCAGTTAAGCAGCTATGTCGCCCGGCCCCGGCGCGGCGCTGTCAGCGCTGTCCGCCGGCGGTGGCAGCGAGGCATTGCGGAGGGAACTGCCAGCCTGAAGCCTTCTTGTTCTTGTTCTTGTTCTTGTTGTTGTTGTTGCTGCTGCCGCTGCTGTCGTCGTAGTTGTCGTCGTTGTCGGAGTTGTCGATGTCGTTGTGGGCGTGGTGGCGGTGGCGGCGGTGGTGGTGCTGACGGTGGTGGTGCTGGTCGTCGTTCTTTGTTCCCTCACAAGAATGCCTTTGGTTCAGTGGGTAACTTTGAACTTTTCGGGCTTGTATAGCCCTGGCATGCTGCAGCGCTTCCAGGGACCTCAGTAACTGGGACCTCCTTACCCCGCGGCTCCAATATCCCGTAATTAAGGAATA